GGTCCCCGAGCTGCCAACCTGGTTCATATAGCATTTCTCGATAAGCTTCATTTTCTCAATATACGTCGAATCCTCCATTTTCTGCCAGTCAGCGGCCGTCTTGTCATCACCCATGCAACTGAGCAGAACCATCAATACTCTTGTAAAAAAAAGGAATATGAGAATCCCTTTTCTCAAGTGGAAGATGACAGTACATGGACGAGGTTGGTCACACTTTAGCGATAGAAGTTATAAACAGCATCATCGTAAACCCCTAGTAATGTAATATTAGTAATAAGGATATATCAATATGATCATATATTATAATATACCATATCCCTTTCAATTTATATTAATATTAGTAATAAGGGTATATAAAATATATTTTTCACTAGTACTAGTGTTTTTCATATCACTAGAGTGAAACTCCAATGTGATTTCTGCCCAGTTCTCTGAAGATCCGAGTGATGAAATTGAAACAAGCTCGAGGAAAACTATTTCCCCCTCGACATAGTCAAATGATAAGCTCTTGAAACGGCGGAAAAATATGCACATGATCAACTACATGTGTCGGTGACAATATGAAAATTCTGAGAGAAAATTTGGAGAGCGATTCTTATGGGGTTTCTGCATACGTCCATCCAAGTTCGCATGTAAACTCCTATAATTAGTGAAGTTCGGCTGAGTGAGGCTATGATGAATTCTTCCAACACTGGCATCAGATTATTCTCCAATGTGACCCTCTTACTCCTCCATGCAAACGCCAACCCTCTTCATGACATCCTCGCCAAACGCTGTAGCAAGATCGGAGACCTTGGATAGATCCTTCTGAACGTCATCGATGCACCTGATCAAAATCGAACATATGAAGGTATGTAAGGCTCGAGGGCACACCTGTCGGCCTTGTCTGGGTCTCCGTTGCAGTTGTCAATACAGTCAATGCCGCCTTGGAAAGTTCGACGACGCAACTGAGAGAGATGGTTCACCAACTCAACACTCATAAGGAGTGTATTATTTCTTAGTCAATTTCAGAAAATCTGTGTTTCTCGTTAACGAATGAGAGTTTTGAGCTGAAACTTCAACAGGATATAGTTATTATCATCATACATCACACGTTGAGTCGAAACGGTCATGTTCGGAACGGTTACTGATATATCATGGCGAGCGAAATAATCACCCTCGCGAACCGTGCCTTATAAAAGATCATCTGCAGTACGCTCAGTCTGAAGAATCCGCTTCCCCTATAATAATGTTATACTAACACTATCGGAGTTTCACTCGTTTTACGTGAAGTGGCGTAATACTCCGCGAAAAACGCGATATGCAGTAGTCATGAAATATATTTTTCACCACTGTTTTTCATATCACTAGGGTATGAAAGTATGAAACCAGCCCACATATGATCCTTACCACAAGCGTCTTCTTCGACATCACAGCAGCGACCTTGTCGATCTCATCCATCATCTTCACCCTCGCTGCGAGAACTGATCTCATTGCCGTCTCCCTGGGCGTGTGCTCAACCTAGTAGGAATATTACTGGCCATCCAGTATCAACGAGATATTAGTAAAATTAAAGACTTTCTGAAGTCCTACAGTAAAGT